AAAAAATGAAAGCTTTTAGATTTTATATTACACACAGAGGGACGTTTTTTAACGTTTTGTATGTTACCTTTATTTATTAAATATTATGTTCTTGGCACTTTAAACCATAAAGTTCAATTCAACAGCAATATCACAAAATAATTTAAAAAGCGCATTTCCACAGTCTTGCACACTGGAGATATTTTTTATTTTTTATTTTTTGGTAAAGTGTTGCCATTCCTCGTTTTGAAATCGTTGAGTTTCTTAATCAGAAACTCATAAATGCTTTACAAAATATGAAATAGGTAATAAAACAAATTTCAAACTTTGGCTTCCAGATACCCATATTCGGGTGGAGACGTAGCTTATTATAAATTGAATGCCTCTAGGTAACGTCGTTTTATCACAATGCGAGATCCACATACACATTTATACAGATTCTTCATTATTTAATTTCTTTAAATTTAACACAGGACGATAATATTTGGTGGCAACAATTTGAAAAGGGAAACGGACATTTAGTTTTCAACGTCAAATGCCAAAACGAAATTAATAGCCCTTCTGGGCTAACTCGGGATAAAAATTAAAATAATTTCATCATAATTTAATCCTAATTTGAAATTAAATCAACTATATAATAATGTAAAAAACAAAATCATTAGTTATTCAGTTGAAATTCTATTCGAAGATCTCAACCTAAGAATTATAAATGACTTTACGTGGATTGCACAAATATGCATTACACGCATGTTTCTAATGAATGCAAACTAAATATTTAGAAAATACGAAATACGAAAAAATTAATTATATATGGAAACGTTTATTTGTGGGTTCTGAATGGGTGTACGCAATACAATGACGCAATAGTAGGCCGCAATTATGTTATACATGTTTTAGTAATTCCAATGGTTCGTTAAAGAACAATGCTATCGTACAGATTCCTAATTCTATATTCCTTAGGACATGCAAGGAAGCGCATTACTTGTGCTTCCGAGAATGGTGTTATGGAAATGTGATTACAGTTCGTTAATGAGTAAACACGTTTAAGGGGAAGAAATAAAGAGAATTTTTAAATGCAGTATATTTACATTAATATTATACTTATAACTGAATGAATCATCCTTGTATTTTAACGTTAAGCTTCTGTGATCTGCATTAATCTTAACCTGCAATCATAAAATTCTATACATTAAATCTATTGTTATTATTTCTTTACGTTGCCAGATTCGCTCGAGTAGATTTCCCGAGCGTTGCAATATTTGATCTGAGTTTGCAATAATAATTACAGTAACGCAGCATGCTTTTGATTTACATCGAAAAAATATACTGTCAAAAACATTAAGATTTTAAAGTACCAAGAAATGCGTTGTTTTTTAATCATTCATTTGTTAAGCAGTTTACAGATTTATTAAATTAAAAAATTAATATCGTTTGTTTTGCTGAATTGTAACATTCCGAAAACTTATTAAAAGTGCGAATGCGTAGAAGATTAAATGCAGAACATTATATTTTGCGCAGTGGCAATATTTGTCAAGCCAGAAATGATATATTTATTGTATCCTAAGTAAGAAATATCGACATAGAAGTAAGTGTCGACATAAAAACGAAAAATACACATTTTATTGACACTGAATAAAATTTATTGGAAATACGTAAGAACTTTTATTAATCGGGTCTTTGCCAATAGAAATCTCTATTGAGGCCGCAATCAGTTTAAGAAATCATTGAGAAATTAAGTGATTGCTCTTCTGGCTTTTCTTATTAAGAATGAGCTATTTGATGGCCCTTCTAATGTAAATTACGATAGAAAAAAATTATTTACATGTGTTAAAGATGAAAGCAACAATAGCAGTCAGACACCAGTTGACAATGGTTTGGTTTGGTTTATTTGGATTATGGCAAAGCACTCGAGGGCTCTCCGCCTAACGGGTGGAATGCTTACGTGGAGGATTTTATAAAGGGAACTAGTTCATATACTCGTAACAGTTGGGGCAAACCGCAATAACGTACACGAACCCGCCGGGCTTCAAACCCCGTACCATAATACCCGAGTTCAGCGACTTTACTGGTCGTTTGCTGGTAGCCTCCAACTGTCTACAATGAATTCCTAGGCATGTTTCTCAAAGGATAAACGGATGCGAAGACATCGCTTGCAGTCATGAGAGAGATACTGAGAATGATGATGAAAAGGTTAATGTGAAAATTAAACATGCTGAATCTTTAAGCAAAGATCTTTAATTTATAGATCAATGTCCTGATGAGCAACATCCTTCAATTTACACAGCAATGTCCTGAGCAATTTATACAGCAACGTCCTCTGCATCATCTGCTGAATATGAGGTCTTTGAATCTCTTTGAATACTTGCGATCAGCACTCTCTTTTATCGTTAATTCATGATAAATTACTCAAAAAAGCAAAAGATAAAGTATAAAGTACAGACTTTAATTACTTATCAAACAAAAATTAAATATATGGGATCGTATTTACGGCATATAAGAATGAATCTAATTTTTTTTCAGATGTCAGATTTTTTATCATATTTTTTTTAAACTAAAGTAAATAAACTCAGTTGAAGCAACAGTCCACTTACTCTAGCGCATCATTATAAAACGATCAAAACCATTTACTGCTGGCATATTCCTTAAGTATTGTTCAATTAAACCTGCTACTCTTCTTTGTCCTGACAAATAATAATTATTTAAAAATAATAGTTTTTCAGCCAGCACGACAGCAGAATGTTCTTACGAAATGCCTAGTGATTTACGATGTCAAATGAAAGAAACAATACAGATTTTGAAGTTTTCTGAACTTTTAATTGTTCACGAGAATGCTGGCTGGCATCACAGATATAGCAAAAGGTTCCTGCTATTTTCGAATGAGATATTTTTGATGAAATATTTAAGAAATTCATGGAAATAATTCTTGTGAAAGAAAAACTGCTGCACAGGATATTCATTCTAAAATAAAAACTGCAAAATGGATATAATTTAGTAAAGGTAAAATTCAGAAGTATAGTGAAAGAAAACAAATTTCACAGCATGCTTTGACCAATAAATTTCACAGCATGCTTTGACCAATACATTATATTAATCAAGAAATATTTTGTACCTAACGTTTGCGGATGGAAGTTATGGAAATGGTAATTAAAGCTGTAAACTTTATTTGTGGACAAACTCTAAATCATAGGGAATACGTTACATTGCTTCAAGAAACTCAAAGTAAGTATGAACCGAGTATCTACTATGATAAAGCTAGTATTTCGAAATTTTTCTCCAAGGCTACAAATTTTATCAGAATCAAAATGGTGTCGATTGTCAAACTGTAGTAAAAAAATGGTGTCGATTGTCAAACTGTAGTAACTGTAATAAATAAAGAAGTTTATCAGTATTTACATATAAACATATTAATTTTTTCGATATATGTCGAAGACAAATCCAATAAATAAAAGAAAGCGAACATATTGTTACAATTTATTCTCAAGTTTTGTTCCATTTGAAACGCTTTCTCTGAAAACTTGAAAAATTCTCATAATTTGTTTATTATTAGTGTAAAATAAAAATAAGTTATTTAGACGCTAGTTGAACATATTTAAATTATTTGAAATAAATGAAAGTCTGAAAATTTACTATTTAGCTGTCAATACATCTGAATTACAAAATGTAACCAACTGCAATTCCTTGCAGGTACTAATTTCTATACTTCAAGTTGAACACAAAGCATAAATCTGAATATTTTCTCAGCGGTGTTTCTATTATTATTAATGTATATTTAATAAATATGCATTACGTGAATTTTAAAATTTAGTTTTAAAAAATTTATTTCGTTAAAATATTTTATTTTATTCAAAAATAAAAATTTAGGCCCTCGCAATTGCTTTCAAATCGTACTTTCGGCATGCAAGCAATTTGATTCTGATACCAGTATCATACACAACATACTTATTCAAACTCATGCATGTTGAGCAATAACAATGATATATCCTATTTTAATTCATTTACGTATACCTTAAGAAAAGAATTCCTTACCTACTATTTTGGGTACCAAACTTAAGACATTACCTACCCTTTTGAGTTTCAAGCACTCGTCCCCAGCTGCTAGTTTTGTAATAATTAGCATAATGGACTTCTGACTGCTGTTTACTACACCTGACTTTCGCACTTGCAAAAGACAGTTAGAGGAGGTTACTTCGAAACTTCAAAATGCCATATATTCTTGTTATGTGTGACTGCCTTTTTTTGAGAATTTTTTCTTTTTTTCCTTTCCCCTTTTTCTTGTGCAGAAGCGATTATTATAAAACATTTTTTTAATACGCGTAGCTATATTAGCTTGTGCAGCACTTATGAAAAGAGGCAAAAACGGACGGATGTTGAGAAAAGCAAAGCCTAAATTTACACAATGTTAGAACGCTTTGATTATAAGTATTTTTTACTTTCCCTTTTATCTAAATTAGAAGTTATTTCATGGAGCATTTCCTCTGTCTAGTTAGCAAATCAAAATTTCTTTCAAAATTTATTCCTAGCTACAATATTAAATTCATACTTTTTCCTGGTTTAAGTTCCTTATTTAATAATACAATCTTCTAGGCAAGTTGCATAAAATGCATTTGAACGGAAAGTTTTCTAGAAAGCAGATAAAATCTAGAAAGATAAGATTTTGGATTAGTGAACGATGTCGCTATGATCTGCAACTGTAGAGAAACTGAAGTTAAATGTCATAAAGAGGTTTATTTTAAAAGCAAATTTCTTGGAACAGTTATTGTGTAAGTCTGGGCAAACTTACTTGTTCATTTCTTGATTCCGATAAACTAAATAAGTTAGTACCAATAGCAGTAATCAATTTATTATTTTCATCCTGTCAGTGTACTGTATGCGACTGCTTTTTAAATATTAGTTATCCATTTGTTTAAAACGTAGCAAATTAAAGATAATATATTGTATAATTTAAAGTAAACATTTTGCTCGAAATGTGATGCATATTCTTCACTTCTTTGTGTTTAATTCAATATTAAATACTTTTGCAGTTGTTAAGCAAAATATTTGAAGATGACTCTAGAAGAATACACGTTGGAAGAGAAAGAAGCAATTGAAGAGGTGAGTACGACATTTTAACTAGTTCTGCTGTTTTACGCTGTAGTATTTATTGCGAAAATTTTATTAGATATATTCCAGCGCATCTGCATTAAATAACAAATTGTAAGGAAATTTACGCCCATCACTGGCCGAATGGATAAAGTCGCTAAGCAGGACGTCCTGGATTCGACCTCAGCCGAATGATGTGGCTGCATGTTCGGTTTTCGGGGTTTTCCTTTTGCAGAAAGTGGACACGTGCCAGATTTCCTTAAAATGTTACTAACGCAACTATAATTCTGCATGAGTTTTGATTAATGTTTTCCATACATGCAACTTATCCAAATTTCTCTGAATGCTCCCGTATTAGTCTTGCAGCTTTTCAGAGTTTTCCATTTCCTCGCGTTGTTCGGAAACCGCGTATGGTTAACGAATTTCAGAAACTTTTTTCCTGTGCTTCATATATAATCTACTCAAAGAAAACTTTTTTTTTTGGCCCTTGAAGAAGAGATACCTCTGTCTGATCGCCTTGATAGGGTTTTAATCAATTTACGCCAAACTAATTTTGACTCTTTGCCCAATCTTTAAATTTCATATTGACGAGTGTCTCTTCCATTTGATATAAGACGTTAAGAAAGAGAAAGATTGGACAATGTGTTAATTAGTTTCAGCTTTTTGTAGAATTTTAAATAATAATCCCAGTATTATATTATGTCAATAAAAATGATACATTTAAATTTCCATTTCTTATTCCCCCTAACACAAAAATATAGTTCGCTCATTAGAACCAAAAAAATAATGAAAATAAGATTATGTATTAAGACACAATAACACGCCGAATAAATACTAATTCAGAAGTCAAACAACAAAAATCAGCGTTATACCTACAAAATTTTCACAGGACTAGTTTCGATGGTTTTACCGAACCATCATCTTCAGCTGCAAAACCGCAAATGAACAAGATAGGAAATAATGATTAGATAAGATAAGAAAGCCTGGACAAGAATAAGCAAGTGGCGCCATCTGTTGGCGAAACCAGAACTAAAACATAATTTCTCTAAAAGCCGAAGCAAATTTGGATTGGAATTAGGATCGTTAACTAGAACAGAAAGATTTTTATGAATATGAAATGCCTCTAGAAAATCCAGTTCTCCAATGGAAGATGTTTTTTGAATAATTTTGGCAGCAGAAAAATTTAAAGTGTGATTTTCGGACCAACAATGTTAAGCAACAGAAGACTTCTGTATTTCCTTTTTCTAACATAAGCCTCATGTTCTTTGACGCGAAATTTTAAGGCTCTCTTAGTTTTGGCCAATGTAAATTAAACCACACTGGCAAGGAATCCTATAAACCCCAGGAATTCATATCCGGAATGGGGTCCTTGAGTATAGAAGTTGGAATTTTATTGATGGGAGAATAAACAGCCCGAAATTAAATTTCTGCAAAATATGTGCAACTTTATAGCTAATTGATGGAAAGAAGGGAATGACAACAGAATTTTTATAATCTCCTAAAATAAGAGTGTGGCTTTTAGTGTGTTCAGATGAGAATTTTTTAACTGCTTGATTAATAATGTTGGGTGAAAAGCCCCTGTCAATAGCTATTGCTTTTAAATAATTTAGTTCTTCATCAAGGGCTAATTTGGAGGAGCAAACTTGAAGAGCACGGAAAACATAGGAATAAAATGAAGCTAACTTTTGTTTAGTCGGATGACATGATTTAAAGTGTGGTGGAAGGCAAACCGATGAAGGTTTACGGTAAACTGTAGTACTGAAGTTGGATGTGTTACGTGTGACCAGAATGTCGAGAAACGGAAGAGAATTGCAAGTCTCAAGTTCAAAAGTGAACTGAATAGCAGGATCAATAGAATTCATTGTTGAAAGAACTTTATTTAAATCATCTTATTACCTTCAAACAGGGTAAAAGTATCGTCTACGTAGCGGAACCATGTCGGGAAGTTTAAAGTTTCAAACAATTTTGATTCATAATAATGCATGTAGATATCAGCCAGGATGGGACTGAGGGGGCTTCCCATGGCTAATCCCTCAGTTTTGTTTGTAATATTTATTTTGGAAAACAAAATGTGTTTGTTTCAAACAGAGTTGAGTGAGAGAAATTAGCTCCTCAATTTCGATGCAAGAGAAATGAAATTCGCGAAGTCTGGTTTCTAGACATCTTAATGCACCCTCCACTGGGACATTGGTGAATAATGATTTTACATCAAAAGAAACCATGAGTAAATTACTAGGAGAAATGTTTTTAACCTTTTTTTACAAACTCTATTGAATTTTTTATGGTGTAAATGTTATTGTCTAATAGAGTGGAAAATCTAGAAACCAAATATTTAGCTAAAGGATACGAGGCAGTACCTAAATTTGATACAATAGGGCGGAAAGGAATACCACTTTTATGAATTTTTGGGAAGAGCATATAATCTGGCACAATTCGCAACAGATGGGATAAGCGAATGTTTTAAGTTGCTTGAAATGATTTGCGAAGATTTGATCGCAGTTTTTATTTTGGATAAGTCCGAAGGTGAAGGATCTTTAGGGATCGGATTATATGGTCCTTCGTTTAAGAGTTTAGTGACACCATCGATGTAAGTGTTCTTATCCATGACGACTATCTGGCCGCCTTTGTCGGCCTTTGAAATGATAATATCCGGGTTAGAATGAATTTCGCGCATTGTAGCTCTTTCTCTCGCAGTTAGATTTGGTTTCAAAGGTTTATTATTGAATTTCACATTATGAGCGATAAGATGCCTAATCATTTCTTTCTGTGAATCTGAAACTTTACTGAACTTGAATCTGAAACAAGTTTCAAGTTCAGTAAAGTTTCAGATTCACAGAAAGAAATGATTAGGCATCTTATCGCTCATAATGTGAAATTCAATAATAAACCTTTGAAACCAAATCTAACTGCGAGAGAAAGAGCTACAATGCGCGAAATTCATTCTAACCCGGATATTATCATTTCAAAGGCCGACAAAGGCGGCCAGATAGTCGTCATGGATAAGAACACTTACATCGATGGTGTCACTAAACTCTTAAACGAAGGACCATATAATCCGATCCCTAAAGATCCTTCACCTTCGGACTTATCCAAAATAAAAACTGCGATCAAATCTTCGCAAATCATTTCAAGCAACTTAAAACATTCGCTTATCCCATCTGTTGCGAATTGTGCCAGATTATATGCTCTTCCCAAAATTCATAAAAGTGGTATTCCTTTCCGCCCTACTGTATCAAATTTAGGTACTGCCTCGTATCCATTAGCTAAATATTTGGTTTCTAGATTTTCCAATCTATTAGACAATAACATTTATACCAACATTAACATTTATACCATAAAAAATTCAATAGAGTTTGTAAAAAAGGTTAAAAACATTTCTCCTAGTAATTCACTCATGGTTTCTTTTGATGTAAAATCATTATTCACCAATGTCCCAGTGGAGGGTGCATTAAGATGTCTAGAAACCAGACTTCGCGAATTTCATTTCTCTTGCATCGAAATTGAGGAGCTAATTTCTCTCACTCAACTCTGTTTGAAACAAACACATTTTGTTTTCCAAAATAAATATTACAAACAAACTGAGGGATTAGCCATGGGAAGCCCCCTCAGTCCCATCCTGGCTGATATCTACATGCATTATTATGAATCAAAATTGTTTGAAACTTTAAACTTCCCGACATGGTTCCGCTACGTAGACGATACTTTTACCCTGTTTGAAGGTAATAAAGATGATTTAAATAAAGTTCTTTCAACAATGAATTCTATTGATCCTGCTATTCAGTTCACTTTTGAACTTGAGACTTGCAGTTCTCTTCCGTTTCTCGACATTCTGGTCACACGTAACACATCTAACTTCAGTACTACAGTTTACCGTAAACCTTCATCGGTTTGCCTTCCACCACACTTTAAATCATGTCATCCGACTAAACAAAAGTTAGCTTCATTTTATTCCTATGTTTTCCGTGCTCTTCAAGTTTGCTCCTCCAAATTAGCCCTTGATGAAGAACTAATTATTTAAAAGCAATAGCCATTGACAGGGGCTTTTCACCCAACATTATTAATCAAGCAGTTAAAAAATTCTCATCTGAACACACTAAAAGCCACACTCTTATTTTAGGAGATTATAAAAATTCTGTTGTCATTCCCTTCTTTCCATCAATTAGCTATAAAGTTGCACATATTTTGCAGAAATTTAACTTTCGGGCTGTTTATTCTCCCATCAATAAAATTCCAACTTCTATACTCAAGGACCCCATTCCGGATATGAATTCCTGGGGTATTTATAGGATTCCTTGCCAGTGTGGTTTAATTTACATTGGTCAAACTAAGAGAGCCTTAAAATTTCGCGTCAAAGAACATGAGGCATATGTTAGAAAAAAGGAAATACAGAAGTCTTCTGTTGCTCAACATTGTTGGTCCGAAAATCACACTTTAAATTTTTCTGCTGCCAAAATTATTCAAAAAACATCTTCCATTGGAGAACTGGATTTTCTAGAGGCATTTCACATTCATAAAAATCTTTCTGTTCTAGTTAACGATCCTAATTCCAATCCAAATTTGCTTCGGCTTTTAGAGAAATTATGTTTTAGTTCTGGTTTCGCCAACAGATGGCGCCACTTGCTTATTCTTGTCCAGGCTTTCTTATCTTATCTAATCATTATTTCCTATCTTGTTCATTTGCGGTTTTGCAGCTGAAGATGATGGTTCGGTAAAAGCATCGAAACTAGTCCTGTGAAAATTTTGTAGGTATATCGCTGATTTTTGTTGTTTCACTTCTGAATTAAGATTATGTATTTTTAGGGCTTAAGTAAAAGAAATTAACTCATTAAGAGAAATGATTTGTTTGTTTGGGCAAATAAAAAACAGTTCTATTTCTTAATTTTGTAAGTGATCATAAAAAAAAAAATTCTCATTTTATTTTAGAGGAATAGAATTTTTTTCTTTTTTTTTTTTATTTTTTGACTGTGTAGTTTCTATTAAAAAAAATATGAGAAACGAAGTAATGAAATCTCTCATTTGCATATACATTGTATTTCCGAAACCTTTTTAACTTTGTGACGCACATACACGTCATTTCTAAGAAAAAATGAAAAACAAAGATACGTAGAAGAAAGTAATTTAATAATAGAGTAATAATAAATGAACATATAAAATTAGCAACAATTCATTGGTTGGGGTAATATTTGTATTTACAGATATAAGACATAATTTATAGGAAGCGGTAGACATTTTATTTAGGAGCAGGAAACGTGTGCATTGCTCTCGCCAGGAATCGAACTCCGGACTTCTTGATGCCAGCCATACGTGCTTCCATTGATATCAGAAAGATACGCGGAAAGGCGGGAGAAAATACGTTACAAATTGTACAGTAAAAAAAAGAGTACTTAAAACTTTTCGTAACCCACCAAAACCTGTCTCTTGACTCACACTTTGGGAAACATTGCAAATGAGTTATCTGGATATCCGATGGACTACTTCTGTGATTTTAATTAATATGTACACTGATCTAAGTTCTACTGAATCTTTTACGTTTATTGAATTTCCATTATTTTATTTATTAATTTTTAATTTTTAGAGAAAAGTTGTAAAAGAACTGAAAGATGTTAATTTTCAGTAAAAACGGGGAAAACTTATTTGTAGTTTTGGGGTGTTAGGTAAATTCTTTAATAAGTCTCCTTTGTTGTTAAAAAATTGTTTTATTTAATATTTTTAACCATTTTAACGGTTTTATGCTTTATTTGGCGTTTTTTATGCTTTATTTTCAGTTGCATTCAAAATGCCCGCATTTTCTTTTATACGGATTAAATTTTTATCTTGATTTTCTTCTTAAAGGTGGTTCAGCTAATTATGTTAATTTTATTTAAAATGTTTAACTGCTTTTCACTATATATTAGAATTTATTAAATTATAATGGTCTGTAAATGCGTGTGTTTTCTGTACCTAATATACTTTCTAATGATGAGAGTCGGATATCTTAAAATCTTTGTTTTCTTGTTCCATCAATAGATGGCACCAGTAGCTTAACTCCTGTCCAGCCATTCTTATCTTATTGTGCCAAAGTGAGAAATGTATATAATATTTTACAGCAATTCTCTCTTGTAGCCATTTTTATTACTGAATTAGTTATTTTCTATACAATACAACCCCTTTAGAGTTATGTGGGTAATGCTTCAATGGTGAATTAGATTTTCTAGGGGCGCTTCACATTCAAAAAAATCTCTCTGTTCTAGTTTACGACCCTAATTCTAATCCATCTTTACCTTCAGCCTTTAAGGAAATTATGTTTTAGTTTTCTTATTCCATCAATAGATGGCACCAGTATATTAACTCCTATCCAGCCATTCTTATCTTATCTTATCACTATATCTCATCTCGTTCATTTGCTATTTGGCAGCTGAGGATGATGGTTTGATAAAAACCATCGAAATTAATCTTGTAAAAATTTGCAAATATAACGCTGATTTTTGTTGTTCGACTTCTAAATTAATAATCTACTCTGAAATAAGATTTCGCTTCGAACATATTGCACTTTGCTTCTGCTTTTCCAGCTAACAAGACAAGCGCTTGTTCGCTTCAGAATTATAATTTTAAAATGTAAGGGTACAGTTTTAATTCTCGAAACGCAAGCACAATGTTAGCTTACTGAAATGTTTGGGGAACCGGAAAAAAAGGAAATATTATTCGGCCACATCTGCACGTTCTTCACTACACATATGCTGTTTTGGGTTTCAATATCATGACTTACACTTATCCTAATTATTACACATATGTATGTTGTGTATAGGAATATAGAATTAAAAAATGCGCTGTGCTAATTAATTGTTTCTGTAGTGGGAGAGTCAACGCTTTGTGAAAAGCTGCAGTCTGGCTAACGTGGACTACTGCCTCCCGTGTTAATAGTGATCCGATCTATCGCTACCTTGAATCAAGGCATAGATTTTCCTCTTTTAAAATAAATACCTGTGCTGGCATCCTTTTACAAAACAGAGCGCTTTTGTCAATATTAAATATCTGCTAAGGAAAACATTTCATCTCATCAGTTATTTACGCCAGAAGTTCGCCAAATTCCCTTAGCGCCATTTGTATCTGCATTTGCTACCTTACCCATGATAATGTGGCTGCGTAGATTTGTATGTTTCTTAAAGTCTTTTGAACTATCCAGCGTTTAGCTTTAAATACCCTCTCCGTGCCTGTGATGGAGTCTCTGTGTTTTTATGTCTTTATTTTAAATACGTTTTTCTTTGTAAAGCAAATTTTAAATTACTAACATATAAATTCACTGTGAATTCAAAAACTTGGTTAATATACATACTATATATATTTACTTCTTCTTAAGAAAGCTGAGGCATTGCTCTATAACCTTTCATAAGCTAAAATAGCTCAAGAGTCTTACTTACTATTAATTTATATGATAAAAGGCTTTAAACATTCCAGTGACTTTAAACAAAAACCTATCAGATCATACGAAATATGTAGATGATTCGTGATAGGAGATGCACATCACACAGTGATGATAGATGCTAACAGTCATTTATTTATATGCTGTCGTCGTTTGTATTCTTTATATCACTGTGGCTACAATTTCTGTGCTTGAATGGGCATTATAAAATTCGAAATTTTTTGTGCTTTGGTACTCTCAGCTTTAAATATGCTGCTATGGGCCCTATTCTTTCACCTAACTACTTCGGTTGACATATTCTGTTAAACCACACAGCTCTCAGCAAGAAATGAAAATGTATCGCAATGTCATACTTCTCTTCAGTCATTGGCTTAAGTAAACATCGTACCGTACTTTCGTTTTTCACCTCCCTTCGTAAAACGAAATTCCTGTTCGGATTTCGTTTATTAACCGAAAAGGTACTAGGTTAGATTTTTCTTAAAAAGCGAAATTTCGTAAAATGAAAGTTTGTTAAGATGAGGAATATTTGTATATGTATCGTGTCTACAAAGGTCCTTACTCAGCCCTTATTTTTTGCTGCAGATAGTACAAAAGTACAAAACATGTTTTAAATGACGCATTGATTTATATTTTGGCAATTTTAGATTTCAAAAAATGAATTTTATATACGATACGAAATCAGCTTCTCATACCTTCCTCCTGAACCTATACTTATGTTTAAGAAAATGTTATACTCGTTATAAAACACAAAATACAAAATGTTTGACTCCCATACGACAAAAAAATGACTAAGATATTCAATTTCGAAATTTGTGATATTTAGCACCATTCTCAACTTGCTTTGAGGAGTCGATTAAATAAATTAATTTAGAATAATTCGAGTTTGATTTTTCTTTCTTAAAATCGATTCAATGATATTTATTTGTGATTTACTAATGTCTTTATTTATAATTTTGTTACATTTCGTATATCGAAAGAATTTTCGCACAAGTGATTTATAAGTTTTCAAAGTGTAGCCTTAATATCCTCATGATGTTTTATTACTTTAGAATCATAATCAAATAATGGTAAAAAAATTCATTAATCTAAAGATACGTTTCACTTTTTAATTAATGAGGATAGTATTACGAGCTGAATACGTGCCAATATCGGAGGCTGCCAGCGTTTTCTATAACATGAGTTCTATAAGATTCTATGAATATGATGTCCATTTTTTCCAAAAGAAATTTAAATAGATCAATATTTTTCGCAAGAATCCATGCAAACATTCTCTTTACATAAACTGTTAAATATTAAAAACATTTTTCTAAGCAATATTTTATTTTTAGTTGCGCACCAATGCAAGCATTAGGTTCTTGGATTTTTGTACGGTTCTCTATTATGATATTCGATTTTCGTGTCAAATACTTCGGCCAGTTTTGTCGTAAGGGGATCAAACATTTTATGTTCTAATTTTTATAACGAGTACAACATTCTCTTAAAGATAAGCATAAAGACCAGAAAAACGTATAAAAATAGTTAAATTTCATAATTTTTAAGAAAATGATTTCTTTAAATTTAAAATTGCCAAAACATGAATCTTTGCGTCTTTTAAAACATTTTTGTTTCTGGAAATTTATGGCTACGACCAACGATTTCGAAAAGTAAAACACAGATAAGGACTCTTGCGGACACGGTGTATAATGTAGTGTATAATATGGAATAATGATGATAAATTGATAAATAACGAATTTACTACGATTAATTTGAAAAGGAAAAGCTTATAATGCATGTTATTTCTTTTCCAAGAACAAATTAGACTGGTAGTTTGTCGGTACAGTTAGCTTAACATGCAATCCAGTTATCTTAAGTGAAATGCATATTTAATGCATCTATTGATTAAAAAAATAGTTTTTAAATAAACCAACATGTACACATTTTTTTTTTGTAAATTTAAGTTAAATAAAATTTGGTTTCATTTTTTTCAGTTGAGGCGCAGACTGGAAGGTGAAATGAGTCAAGAAATGTTTGAAGATGATAATATGTTTATTCGCTTTCTGAGAGGTAAGATCATATATGTTTTGTTCATTTTAATAGCATTACTAAATGAAATATAAAAGGCTTGATTGTATTTAACTAATTATTACTTTATTATAGCTCGAAACTTCAACATGAATCCGGCTGAGACGATGCTGCGAAATGTAAGTGCGAAAATAAATATCTACACGTACAACATTATGTTAGTTTTAATTTTATTAAAAAAAATTGAAGATGAAATATATGGTCGTCTTATCCTCTGATTTAGAATCTGCGTTTTACTGTAGCCCTGATTTTCTTTCTCTGTAAATGCTAAATTGGAGAAATATAATATCCAAAGGGTATACTAAGCTAAGACTGTATATAATACAGTTAAAAAATACAATGTCTAGAACTAGCTTACCAGACCAATCTCGATCATGAACATCCTGTTGAACATTAACACATATTTAATTGCTTTTGTAGTGCTTTAATAAAAAGAAATAATTTTGTTATGCTGGCATCCTCTCAAACATACAATATAATCCCTTGCATTTCTCCCTGCTGTATCGTATTTTGAGTATCAGATTGAAACGTTAAAATGCATTGCTTTCATATATGCAGTATAACACAATGTGAATGAGCCGCGTATTTTATTGATATTTTAGTACACTACAGTAATTTGTTTATGAATGAAACTTTATTTCAATAATTATGCCCGTTACATGGATATCGTGAATGTACAGTAATTGGTATTATTAGTAACTTCATCAAACCACGACAGTTCTTGAAAACTTCATCATGATCCGCAGATAAGATGGCACTACAGTAATAGTTCCTTGCATAAGAAATGAATTAAAAAATGCTTGTAGTGTAGCATCTCCTCTTTCTTTATAATTCATTTATCTGTTTTATATTTAAAATGCAAACTAAGCTGAAGAACAAATCTGAAACCTAAATATTTATGAATGAGAGGATTTCTGTGATCCCGCTCACCTAGTTTTTTGGAAATGAATAACCAAATTAAAAAAACAATACTTCAAATTAAATAATTATGAATTTAGAAAACAACACATAGCTGGGCCGTGTTTCGAAACTTTTCAAAGAACATTAAAATACATAATGGGAATTAAGATGCATTAGTAAAAGTATTAAATCTTCAACAAGGAATATGAAAACGAATATGGTAAACTGAAGACCCTAGCTATTTAAACCCTATTAATTCAGAAACTGAAGACACTGGACTATTTAAATTATATTAATTCAATGAATATAGCTTCATAACCTAAAGACAAGAATCTTTAAAACTTTTAATTTCAACTCAAAATAGAAGGAACTTTGAATATGAAGATTTTTTCATATATTAAAAACTGAATCACATATAATCAAAAGCAAAATATTCTTGTTAGATCTAAAAGTTACGAAACTTTTATTCACTGTTATATTCAGTGTTTCTTTCGGTTCTACACCCAAGAAAATGCTAATATTTAAGAAGTTATAAAACGTATACATAGGAAATTTGTGGAATAAGAAAGAAGGCGGAGAAGCAGTACTGATAGAGTTAGACCAAGCCGGCATCGCCCCTGAACCCCGGCGCCATAATATGCGCCAGTAAAGGACCTCTGTTCAACTATCCCTGGATATTAGAGGCACGCACTTCTAGCATCTCTTCTTATACCAACATGTATCTCGTGGTTCAAAATATGTAGTAGTCGTACATACCTGTTTAAAATTTAATAAATAATTTCTTGGTTTTACTAAAAAAAGAATCATCACATATGATAAGAATAGCTTTAAAAACTGCTGTATTACGGGAATTCTCAAATAAATAAATTTGTAGGGTTTATATTTATTTTAACTAACATTTATTTTACTTTCCCCTAGAATTGCCAATGCCAGAGTATATAAATCGTAGTAGAACGAGCAGAGTATTCAAATTTTAGCAGAAATTGAGTTAAATAGAAGGGAAGCGAGATTGTAAGTGTGCTTCTTGAATCACGAGCGTGAAGGTTGCTTGGTAGAAAGTTTAAGAACCGCGCGTTTCGGCCTGTGTGCCTATTTCGACAGTTCGTTGAATCTTTCAAATTCTTAATCAGAAAGTTTGCTGAATCTCAGCTGTATCTTAGATACAGCTGAGATTAAGTTAGTTACGATTATAGAGCCTCGTAGGTAGTGACTTCGTTATTTATTCATCCTGTCATTTATTTTTAGTTGCATTTTTGTCTATTTTGTTCAACCGCCGGGTCGGCGTAGTTTGTGAGCGTCAAGTGAACGCAACTGTGATTTCTAAAGTGAAATAAAAAGGGAGTTAAACCCTTCTTAAGAGTTTGTGTAATTTCCAGTTCATAGCAGTCACTACTGCTGTTGCTGACAAGTTGGGGCTTCCCAACATCATAAGTTAAATATTGATAAAGCATTTATTACTATATTTAGTTATTGATTTATTTCTAAAATCGCCAAAAATGCACTCTTTCAAGTAGCTAGTAAAAGGAAGTTTTTTGCCTCTTGAAATACACTGCATCTTTATATCTAAAATTGCTGTCAAAGTACGAGAACATTTTAGCAATATCAAGCCTTTTTTTTTTTTAATTCCATAAATTAAACAAAAAGTAAGCAAATTGAAAGATAGTAAAAAACCAAGATAAAATTCTGTCGATCCTTTTTTTTTCATTGATATAAATTATGCAATAAAAATTATACTGCAGAATAAATATAATGCAAATCCCTTCATTTAATTTTATTAATCCGGCAGGATGTGCACAGTATGTGTTTATGTGTACAACTAACTTCTTTGCTGCCTTTTTGAAATACCTAAATATCTTTCTTTTTAAATTAATCAATTAAATATTTTTAAATTAATCTTCTGTAGTTCCATTTTATATAAAATTCTTTGAGCAAGAAAACTGCTAGAATCGAAAAGTCAACATTTCCTGGAACTATACCCTGAATGTTTGAAGATATCATGGGTTCTGTCGTGTCAACCAAACTTTAGCATTCGTTCTCTTCCTGTCAGGCTCTCTAGCATTATGATCGCCAGTAGTAGAACCATTAATAATTTAATGGATTGTTTCAAATTTATAATGTTTTGTGCTATTGTAATGCATTTGATAAAATCATCTTACAATATTGCAGAAATCTTGACTGCGAGGAGTTGATAAAAAATTAAAACTCTCATAAAACAGTCGTAAATGTTATAAAAGAAGCTTAATTCTATGTTGCATTATACAAGGTGAATATGAACAAGTGGATAAAACTTTAGAGGCTGATAGAACGCAGTTATGCAAGTAATATTCGTCATAGAAGGTTTGGTGGGAATGCAAACGGAAAGCTGCTAGGTGGTATTGTAAATAAATGGTACAAAAGGGTCGGTCCTCGCACCCAGCGGCATTTTTCTACGGTGGATTTCCGAGAGGATTGCTGATTATACGAACCACGAAATTTCCATGGCAATGGATTGGTCGAAATGGTCCCATAGCTTGGCCATCAAGACCGCTGGATCTCTCGTGTTTGGACTTTTCTCCGCGGAGCCATATGAAACGCCTAATCTGCTAGTGCCCCATTGAAATCAATATGGATCTAGTCGCCAGGATCGCCATTGTTGCCGGCGATATTCTGCAAATGCCTGGTGTGTTTCGCACATGTGCGTCAATCCCTATTCCGTAGGTGTGAAGCCTGCATTAAAGCTGGCGGAAGGTCTTCGAGCAATTTCTATGAGCATGTTCTGTTAATAAAATGTTTTCTGAAGCATCTCCTCTCATTCTTGAGTTAATTTTTTAAATGCTCCAGTGGAAAACTAAACCTACCCTTTAACTTCTCACCGCTTGTGTTCCGACCATATATTCTATGACGAATATTGCTCGTATAGCTGCCTTCTATCCACCCTAAAGTTTCGATCTCTTGTTCAGATTCATCCTGAACTGAGAGCACTGCTCATTTTTAATCTCTCCGGCTTTCAAAAAACACTTAATGACTCTACACGTTAGCAAAAAGACCGTTACATCCGCCTTCTTTTTGTTTCGTTTTCCTTAAAAAGTATACAAAAACAGTAGCTTCCGTATCAAAACAAGGCTAATGCATCTTATGTTAGCCTGTTATCTATTACGCAAGTATAATACGAGTAAAATAGATTAGTCTTATGAAATTTTAAAAATAGCCAATAGAAAAAAAAAATAGCCAGAGATAAAATAAAAGCGTGAAATCTTTTCTTTTTATAGTTTTTGGAAGATATAGTAATTTGTAGTTGATGAAAGAGTAGCAACATTTCTAGCTAGATCATCTAACCTGTGGCCTCTTTGTTAAATGTTGCTATGCCTAAAGAAATGTTTATTTAACTGCCAAAAAGGTGTAATCTATTGAATTTCGGAACAGGTTTTTCGCGAGACATTTTTAATCAATATACAAATCAAAGTTATCAATAAGTTATTCGATTTAAAAGAAAATTTACTATTGGTGTTGTTACTCCCAAAATGCCGAAGAAACCGTGAAACAAATTAAACAATATAAAATCTTGCGAAGAATGATCTGGTAGAAAAGGAATTAAAATAAGATCTCATTTCTATGAGAAATATATAAATCTTCTCTGTAAGAAAAATTTGCGTTGTGTTCAATAAGTAAAATACATTAGGTCAACTTGCTTAAAGTATATAAAACTATGATTTTTAAATTTTGATTCACACATAAATTAATGACCAGATATTTACAACACTAAGATGTGATAAATATTTTCTGGAATGAGATATTCACCTGCGTTTTCTTTCTCGTCATCATGGCGATCCATTTTGCAGATTAAGAAATATTTTATTTAAGTTTCTGTTCGTTCACTTGAAATACCTGCTAACAATTTAATAAACACTGAGCAGTAACTATAAATGTGTCATTTCTTAGATATTGTTGTCACGAGATTTCCCATGATGTAACAAAGTTAATACGTTAAACTGCTTTTACACTAATCTTTTTTTTTTTTTTTTTTTTTTTTTTTTTTTTTTTTTTTTTTTTTAAATTTACAGCATATTGCATGGAAAAAAGCAAATAATATCGACACAATTTTGACTGATTATACCTTAAAAGAGGTAAGAGTTTTTTCTCTTGCTATTTTATATCCATAATAACATTTTCAAGAATTTCATTTATGATTCATAAATTTATACAACCATATTTAAAAGAATGCTCTATTTACCAGTGAAATTTTTTATCTCATTTTCGAACTGCAATAAGCTGACAATTTATTCCACTCTAGTTAAAAGTTTTAAATGAATTTATTGTTGTAAATTAAACAATAAGCATGTTATTTCGGTTTAAAGATGCATATATATATATATATATATATATATATATATATATATATATGTTAGCTTGAAAATATGTATTTTTAAATACTTTCTTAGTGCATACTCGCAAGTGTTTGAAAAAAAATATCAGCTATTTCATTTTGAATTTAATTCGTTTTCTTTCTTTGTTTATTTTTCAATATTTAATAAAATGTTTAAAAAAATCATTTTAAACTTATTTTCTACGAACTTGCAAGAATAAAATTAAAACTTAAATAAAATCTCTCGAACTGAATTTTCCCATAATTTCAGGATTTCGGTAATTTTATTGTAAGAATTTCATTTCCACTGTTTTGCACTATTGCTTTTTACTGTTTCATTTATAAACTATTTTGCATAAATGAAACTAAGTTGAAATGGAAAAAACAACATTAAAAAACAATACAGTTATTTTAATATTTAACTTCTATTTCACTTTAGGTTGTTGAAAAATATCTTACTCTCAATAGGATAGGTTTCGATAAAGAAGGATCACCAGTTCTTTATTCGCATTTTGGAAATTTAGACACAAAAGGTAAGCCTGTTATCTTAAACTTGCTACTTATTTGATAAAGAAATACAATCAAATCCATTTATATTGGAATTCAAATATTTATATTAAAACAGTTTAAAAGCGTTTATGCAGAATCATATTTCAATTTCAGCTGTGTTCAATACATCGAACAATACCGTAAGTCAGATTCTGAAATTGTAAAAGATTTTTTTAAGTATTGCTGTGCTGGCTTAATTTCTCTTCATACTTTAATTTCAGCTTAAAATTGCTCCCTTGAGGCATAAAATATATTTTTATACTTTTTTATATTAAACCTTTTGCATACACACACATAAATGTATATATTTAATATATGTAATATCAAAAAATATTAATTATGATTTAATTTAATAATATCCTCTTAACTCCTCGTTTTTAATCTGGATATTTCCCCTTTATTCTAAAAAAATTAATAACATTTCTGGACTGCGACATTTCTAGATAAATCTATTCTAGAGCTTAAGTAACGCTCGTAATATACTTAATTCGGAACCTAAACTCTGAGAACTGAAGCCTTTCTAACCTAAACCAAAACCTTTCTCTTAACTGACTGCCATATTTGATAAATGCGCACTTTAACTTCTCTCTGTGTGCTGTTTGGACGCAATTTCGCTGTGCCGTTTTCCTATCGCAATAGTATTGAAAAAACTAAATGTTCTGGAAAAGGGCATGATTAGAATGCAAAGTGAATTGTGGCCACAAATGTTAATTTAAATAAAAATGGAATTTAATCCATATCGAGTCCCAAGTTTCTTAGTCATTACGAATTTTAAATTTTAAAATTCTACACAATCAGAATGCTTCCTTTTCAATATGGATTCAATATGGTTCTGTGAACTGTGCATGCTACGCCATCAACATTGCTATTACGTATATGTTAACTATATATATATATATTTTCATACAACAAAATTTTATCCAATATATATGTAGAATAAACAGAGAAGAATAAGAAGGCTTACTGCTGCTATCCGTAATCTGTGCAGAATATGCTGTTAAGACCAACTATTTCAAGTCAATCGGCTAAATTTTGTACCAGTGTCCAGGCTATTATACATATCATGTAATTTTTAAAACATTCCCATTTTACTTATAAAGTGCTTTTAATTATGATTTTATTATATAAAAAATTGTTGTATATTAGCATAATTATATCATTTATAAAAATGTTAACGCCTTCGTTACCCTTATTACATTTCTCCGTATTTTTAACTATATTAAAAATGAAGTAAAGAAATAAAATAGAAAATTATTATCTGTATAAATTTCAGTTGTTATAATGTATGAAAAATTTCATTAATAAAGGGCATATACATGTTTATATAATATAGCATCTAAATAAATATAAAAAATAGTATCTAAAATTTTTTTTAGGCATGCTTAAATCGATAAAAAAATCCGATGCAATGAAAAGCATTGTAAGAAGGCTTGAAACTGACATTTTAGCTATGAAAGAAGAAAGTGCTAAGGTAAAATATGTTTTTAATGTTATCAGTTTTTTTCCTAACTAAGTAAACGTTGTAAAAGCATGATTTTGGACTCAGTTTTGTGTACTTTTTTCAGCGAGGTAAAACCGTGGATAAGTGGATCTATATATTCAATTTCGAAAACTTTTCATTCTCAACAGCTACCCACAAACAAAGTAAGTTTTTACTCATTAAGAACTGTAGTGATACTGAATTAAATCTACATATAATTGTTAGAAGCTTGTTATGAAAATTATTTTAAAAAGGAGCCTATAGTGTGAAACTGACGGCTAATTTCAAAGCATGTTTAATAACATTTCATGCTTTCTGAGTTTCATAGATGTATATTCTGAAACCATAAAATAGGATATTCATCATCTATGCCTTTAAATTTACCCACTGGTCGAGCGGTAACATCGCTGAATACTGGTAGTTCGGGGTTGGAATCCCGGCAAACGGGCTGGCTGCGTAAGCATTTTCGTGGTTATCCTTATGTGTAACGTGTATAGGATCCAATTTCCTTAAGAAGTCCTCCACAATTGCATCCCTTCCCATAGGCAGATAGCCTTAGTGTGCTTTGCCATAGTTGAATAAACTAGTTGAATAATCAAAACTTAAAATTCCCGTTTCCATAGATAGAAAGCAGGGTGTAACTTTCTTACACTATTATAATGCGATATTCTGCTTCGTCCCAGTATAAAAATTTATCCATTTTTTCACTAGAACCAATTAACCTTGAATTTTTCTTCAGGTGTTATAGAAAAGCTTTTTCTCACTTGTATCAACACTAGGAAAAAAAATGTTTATCTTATATTGTTGCAACCTTTTTCAATTTATATATCTAACTTGAAATAAAAATGCATATAAGTTTGATTTTGCGCCTCAAATTTTCTATTTAATTGAATTACTCATTTTCTTTCGATTTCTTGGCAGCTCTGGATACCTTAAGCAGTTTAGTCACAATGTATGAAGCAAACTATCCAGAGAGGTTAAAAGCAGGTTATTTAATAAATGGTAAGTGTTTCAATGTTAAATTTGTCTTTTATTTCCAATTTACATTATTATTAACTATCTTTTAATTTTTATGCCGTAAAATAAATAATTAACCTCAATTTATGGATAAAATCAATTTAAATTACGGCATTCATTCTACTAAGCTATTTTATTTTATTCTTTAAAGAAAATTTAATTCCAAATTATGAGTTTTGGAACTGAACGAACTAGTTACATTTTGATATTTATTCTGAAGTTCTGTGCATAACATTTTAGAGGATAGCGAAATTGTTTCGAAATGTCTATTAGCGGAAATCGCAATAAAATTTTTCGAAAAGCAGCAGAACAAACATGTACAGAAATCCGTTTTTTTGTAGGATAAATTTATATATGCAACATTTAAATGATCTCAGGCATAAATTAAAAGAATTTTGCACGGAAATGCAGCGAAAATTTGTTGAATCTTTAAAATCGGTAAAAAGAACATTCATGAAAATACCTGATCGCTGAAAAATATGTATTCTATGCATGTTTCGATACATACTTTTGCATATATCTATATACAAGGATAAAATACATATACACATGTAAAATAAATAGATAAAATGTACAAGAAATTAGATTAAAAATCGTTTGCATTAAATTATCCATTCTAAAAATCATTTAAAAATATATCTCTGAATTTATAAGACAAGCATTGAAAATGGTTTCGAAAACCTAATTTAAATTATTTAAAACACGGAACTTATTTGCATGTAGGTTTTGTTTTACTGACACAATTACTGTGAAGTGCTGTAAAAGCCTAATGTACAAAAAATACATGCACTAAATTAATAAAAAATATGGTTGAAGATATCTTGGTTACTTAAAACTTAATTTACTGCTAAAAACGTTTCATACCGAGGACAAGATTTTCTAATAATAGTATATTAATTTCTTTATTGCTTATATTTAGAATAGTGTGTAAACTAATTTGGCACAGGATGTATTTAAAATCGTCACCACGACATAATACACAATAACATAGATACATAATGGTAAAAAATAATCTCTTCAAATAATAAAAAATACTGACTGACCTAATTGTCTTCAGAATCTTGAGTATATGGCGGATATACTTTTTAATAGATTCAACAAAATCATTGAAGGATTTCTTATGTGAATTTTTCGCCATACATGCTCTGCTAAATAAAAAGCAAAGTTATCTTTATCATATTGCATATCATATTTTAATTGCACTTTTAATGGTACTCTATGTGCGCTTAATCATATTCGCATGTCCTCCTGGCCCATGATCCTTGAAATGATATTTATGATTAAGACACAATAACACGCCGAATAAATACTAATTCAGAAGTCAAACAACAAAAAATCAGCGTTATACCTACAAAATTATTTTATTATACCTACAAAATTTTTGTAGGTATAACGCTGATTTTTGTTGTTTGACTTCTGAATTAGTATGATATTTATGGTTAACAACAAGATGCTGAAATCCTTCGTTCTCCAAATAGGCGTACGATTTCTAGCAATCAGATATTAGAGTGTATGGTAGAATATATTGCTTAATGAAACTTAATAAGCAATCTTTACTTCTATCTGGCACAGCCTTAAGAAGGACATGTTACTTCCGCTTTCGACCTCACCAAACACTCATTTTCTTTCCACTCTCCTGCCTTTCTGATTCTTGCGATTTCCAAACTTGTTTTATCAATTTCAACAAAAATCATAAACTAGAAACCAACTAGCAGACAATTGACCAAATAATATAAAATTTCACCCATACTCAAATGACGTTCAGCGAACCAAGTATCGTTCCTTATGCTCCCTTATCTCTAATATCCTTCATATCATCATCTTTAATATTCTTCATTTCATCATCTCTAATCATCATCTCTAATATCCTTCTTCCCACATGTTGGACATTCATACTTATTTGCAATCAATCCTACATAAATGCACCATTCAAGCAGCTCTTTTTAATCATTACATAGATGTTTCAAAACTTTTTAATTCACCTTTGAGAAGGCATGGGATCTAAATATTCAGCGCAGATATACAGAACATATCTCACACAACAGTGCTTCATACAAGATAAAAAAACTGCGTGAAGTATTACATACGAGGGCCATCCAGGAAGTAGATTACGTTTCCGTCTGTGTCCGCTAGGGGCGGGGCTAGCGCGGCCATCTTGGGGTCAGAGCGTTGCGCAGCTCAGTCTGCATCTAGCCGTGCTAGTGAGAGGTTCGTGCTGTGCTCCGTTCAGATACTGTGACGGTTTGAAATGTCTGCGTTAATTGAAAATCCCGCGAGCTGCGAGGTGCGCTCAGTAATAAGGTTTCTGACTGCAAAAAACTGTAAACCGATAGAAATCTATCGGCAGCTTCGTGAAGTGTATGGGGACAACATTATCACTGAAGGTGGAGTGCGTCAGTGGGTCATAAGATTTCAAAATGGCCGAACCAATGTTCACGACGAAGATCGAAGTGGGAGACCCAGCATAGTGACCGCCGAACTTCTCGAAAAAGTCGATGCTAAAGTCCGTGAAAATCGAAATTTCACAATAACGGAACTTTCTTTGAGTTTTCCACAAATTTCGCGAAGTTTGTTGCACGAAATCATCAGCGAAAAGCTTGGTTACCACAAGTTTTGTGCAAGATGGATTCCAAAAATCTTGACAGAGGACCACAAAAATCAGCGAATGGCTGCAGCGTTGAACTTTTTGGACGCTTACCATAAGGATGGTGACTCTTTACTCGATCGCATCGTTACTGGTGACGAAACATGGGTGAAACATGTGAACTGTGAAACGAAATTGCAATCAATGCAGTGGGGGCACACAAGTTCTCCCCAAAAACCCAAGAAATGCATGCAAACAATGTCGGCAAGGAAGATGATGGCGACTGTTTTTTGGGACAGAAAAGGTGTAATTTTGGTGGACTTCCTGGAAAGAGGCACTACAATAAACTCTCAAAGGTATTGCCAAACTCTCCAAAAACTCAGAAGAGCAATTCAAAACAAGCGCAGAGGAATGTTGAGCTCTAAGATCTTGTTGATTCACGACAACGCCCGGCCCCACACGGCAAATGTCACTCGTAAAGTTCTTGAATCTTTTAAGTGGGAGTTGTTTCCTCATCCGCCGTACAGTCCCGACCTGGCACCGAGCGACTTCCACCTATTCCCAGCAATGAAGAAGTGGCTGGCTATGCAGCGTTTTGATGACGACGCACAGCTGCAAGAAGAGGTAACGAAGTGGTTGAAGGCGCAGGCGGCCGAATTTTTCGACGAAGGAATTTCCAAGCTCGTACATCGCTACGATAAATGCCTTAATTTGTATGGTGACTATGTAGAAAAGTAGTATTTGAGTGTGTCTTTCATCTGTATATAATAAAATTTGTTTCCTATACTTTGTTTATTTTTTTATTCCAAAACGTAATCTACTTTCTGGATAGCCCTCGTATATTGTTGCGAATTTCCCTTTCCCCTTTTGAATTCATGAATTATGTTTTAGATTCCTCCATGAATATTCCATGACATGTCACATGATCTCTGGTTTGTCTATATATGCGTCCTTAGCTTTGTCTAGGATAAATAAACTCTAATTGGAAGTGTGCACGTTTCAGATTATAGATGGAATCCTAGCTAGTAGCCATTATCGCCATACAAACTATAACCAAAATCGCCAAATTACCTGTTACCATATTTCAAAGATCATCCCACAAAACAAGAAATTGTGCATAAAAATTAAGCGGTGTAAAATAAGAATTCTTAAAATTAGAAATTAGAAAAATAATCAGTCAAATTAAAAGCAATTAAATTAGTATTTTTCAATTAACATTGAAACTAAGATATGCTAAATAACTGTTAAAAATAAAAAAAAAGATTAAATTTTTAAAGCAAAATTTAAGTAAACAAAACTGAGTCATTTGGTTCGAAAATGGAATGCCGTAACCATAAATTGGTAAATATTGAATAGACATGACCCTAAACAAAAAATAGTGTATACAAATTAAATAGACGTGACCCTAAACAAAAAATACTGTATACAAATTAAATAGACGTGACCCTAAACAAAAAATACTGTATACAAATTAAACAGATGAAACAGTATGAAGCAAGACGATCAAAAGAGAATAATAAATCAAAGTTAAATTCTGAAAGGTGATCTACTCTCTAACAACATGTTCCGATGTAACCCCAAAATAAAAATTACAAACATGTTAAAAGGATAAAAAAAGAATAGGAAAGTATATAAAGAAGAAAAAGGAAGAAAGAAACTAGAAAAACCATTGAGTAAATCAAAAGCTAACTGCTAAAATTATTACTTAAATTTTCGAGTGAAAAAACAGTGAATAACTATTGGGTAAATGAAAAGCAATGCGTTAAAAAAATAAAAAGCAATAAAAACCATATAAATCAAGAGCAACGTGCTACATAAATATTAAAAGCAATATGCTAAATAAATATTAATTAAATTTCGAACCAAAGAAATTGCAGGAACTGATAAAAAAACCTTTAGAAATAAAAAATAGCTGTTGTAAAATAAAAGCTAAACATTTTTGAAGTCATAATTATGAAGAAACGAATTTATTCAGAATAAATTAATCAAAATTAAGTAAGAATTTAAAATAATAATTAGTGCAGGAAGTTGCAAATTCCAGAACAAAACCGTTAAATAGCTTCAGTGACAAATTAGAAATATTAAAAAGTAATATACCTGTAACTAGGTAAAATAAAATAAAATAGAATTAATAAACTAATTCGAATGGAATTAAAATGAAATTATAAAATGAAAAGAAAGCGCAAAAATCCATGTGGCTGTCTTCAAACTTTCGAAAATTCATCTCAAAAAAGGAATTCAGTTAGTTGACTTGCAGTTAGGAAGCTAGAATATTGTGGAAATGATAGATCGCGAGAAATGAGTTGAGGTACAAAATATTTAGTTTGAAAAATTGAAATATGAAAATGCAGTGCAAACGTGGAAATTAAAATGACATTAATTTCTAATAATTAAATGATTT